CTCTCTATACCCGTTCATAAGCCGACCCCCTTCTCTGGTGCTTCCCTTTTTTACTAAAAAAATTCGGCTTATGAATGAGTATATACGGTAGTATTTGTGTCAAGCTGCATTTGGATGGAAATTGGAATTCAGTTAAAAGTGTATTGTAAAATGCATTTTTTTACTTTATGACGCCACTTTACATGTGCTGATATATAACAAAGTTTCCGAAAACACGTTTTGCATTTAAAACTAAATGTAATTAAGCAGAATGGAAGTATTAGCTGTAGTTCACAAATTGACTGATTGTTTCTGATCACTATGATCCAGAATTTCAAAAGTAAGTGTGCTTAGGGAGCTAAGACACTTTTGAAAAATCCCACTAGGCACCTAAATCTGGCCTCACTTCTCAAAACTAGATCTTATCCTCTCCATAACTAGTTTTTAATCCTAGATTGGATTAGGAAAACAAACTTTCCTGCTTTTTCATCTTCCAGTTAGTTTCTCAACTTTGAATAAAATAATCCACATGAAGAAAAGTCTCTCCACATTTGCTACTTAAACTGAAACCCAGAAGTAATTAAGGCAAAAGTTTTTCTGCACAATAAAAACTGAAAGTACTTACATTTGGAAAAAAAATACCAGCATTTGCTCCATTGTAATATGAATACTTCATGCAGTACTTGACTTTGGGATTCTTAGAAACCTTGAGTTGACCTCAAAATAAAGATATTTTACCCTAATTCTGTACATAATTAAAAAAAGGTATGCCGCCTTTTAACGCCTTAAAATTTGAGGATTACTCAGTGATGCAGCATATTTTTATTTACATAATTGTGCTGTATTAGAGTAAATGTAGGCCTTAACATAAGTTGTCAATTTCAAGTCTCATTTTAAACAGGGTTGTGGGGTTTTTTTTTTTAAAATGCATTTAAGTAAAAGAAGACTTACCTGATTTTAAGTCACTGTTTTTTTTTTAAACAAAGAATCAAAATGTATTATTCACCTTATAGAAAAACATTTGTGAAAGAAACAGATTTTGCAGCTTGTTCAGATTCAAACACTCAAAGAAACTCAGTGAAAGCTGATAGAATGTCATCTACACTGAAAATGTAGATGAGATTTTTCTGGACGTGCATCTCCCCTTCTAATGATCTGATCCTTAGAAATGTGACACTGTTGTCATGCTTACCTTATTCCAAATACTCTGTCTATCAGAAAGCCTCCAAAGAAACAGAGAACCACATTGGGCCAGGAATACCAGGCATATAATGCCATGAATGTAGCGGTGTTCACCTTCATATCCTAAGAATATGCACAATTTACAAAAAGAGAGTGTCATTTAGCACTATTTTAATTACAGTGACAAGACAGCATCTAATAATGAAAACATTAAAAATGCAGCCTTCCTTTTAAGAGATAAACGGTCATCAGGTGTTTAGAAATCCAAAGGCAAGTCTTGATAAATCCAATTACCATAGGTAAGGAGAAAACTTCCAGGGGCAAAGGGTAAGCCTTGCCTATAAAGCTTCTGTAGAATCTGAATGGGAAGATTTTTAAAAGGCACAAAAGGACACTTAGGCACCCATTGAAAGTCAATGGGAATGTTGGGCCCTTAACTGTCCTCTGTGCCTCTGAAAATCCCCCCAAGTTAGTTAGTTTTAAACTGGTTTCTAGCTCTTGCTGTAAAGAAACCATTCCAAATGTGACACAAATGTATCCAATGCAAACAGAGTCTGAAATGAGAGATTTTAAACCACCTGAGGTTCAAATTCTAAACCCAGACAGATTGTTCATATGCTGGGGAGCTCATCTAGGAGAAAACAAGGAAAAGAAAAGATAGGAGAGGGGGTGGTGGAGAGGATCTCTTCCCGGGAGATACTGTACTTCAGGCTCAGCTAGAAATCCCCAGGTCCTTGCTTTGCCTCCAGAGATGCGCAGAATAGATTCCACCCCGAGCATGGCTCAATGGGATGCAGCAAATGCAAACCTTCTGTATGGGATCCCCAAATCCTGCCGCCTCCTCATCCCCTGCAGTCTTAGGGCTAGTCTACAGTAGCACGCTATATCAGCACAGCCTGTAGCATGTCTGGTAAAGACACGCTATGCTGACAGGAGAGTGCTCTCCCATTGGCTTAATTATTCTACCTCAACAAGAGACGGAAGCTATGTCAGTGTCTCCCCCCCGACTTAAGCACTGTCCACACCAGCACTAGGTCAATGTAACTTGCATCACTCGGAGAGGCAGCTTTTTCACACCCCGAGCGATGCAAGTTACATTGACTTAAGCAGTAGTGTAGACAAGCCCTTAGATTTGCCCCTAAAACTGCTTTTACATCTACAATTTTTGGAAGATTTCAGTCATACTGCTCCTGCCCACCCCAAACCTTAAGCACAAGTGAAGCCTGGATATAGAGGAGAAGTCTTCTTACTGCTGACATGCAGAAGAATGGTGTCAAGCAACACAAAAGGCAAATACCCTAGAACAGTCAGATGTGAACTGTATTCTTACAGAACATTAAAATTAAACTAACCTCCAAGCTGATTTCTATAATCTCTTGAAAAACAACATGGTTCAGTGTTGAAATTAGGGTTAAGATAACACAAGAAATAAGCAAAATTTTGACAGGTATATAAACACAGTTTAAATCGAGAACCTTCAACATGCAAAATACCGATGGATTTTGCATACCAATTTGTCTTTGAGTAAACTACACTAGTGTAATTATTTCCTCTTGGTTTTGGTTTACAGAGAGCCCAACTATGCAATTTTTACTTGTAATGAGTAGCATTTACCCACATGAGTAGCCCCAACTAAGTGAGTGGGATTATTTGTGCACAGATACTACTCAGTGAGAATAAGGGTCATGGATGTTAATCACACTGCTTAATGCACTACCGGAAGGTGATCAGGTACTATGGTGATAAGCACAGTATAAGAACTTAGATAGAATCAATAGTTACAGAATAATGGCCCAGACTTTTTCCACGTCCTCAACTCCTTCCTTGCGACATAATCAATAAATTTTCAGATGGCCATCGCTTCTCTAGAGTTTGAGAACTTCAATTAGAGAGCAATTTGAAAGCAACATTTCAGTCATTTTCACCCTTGATTTTAAAGCAAGAGGCCGTTTGAATGCTTACTGCAATCACATAAAGAGAAGAATCTGGTAGCAGCATTATTCCACAAGCTCATCTATAACTAAATGCAGAAAGCTACTCGAATGTTATATAGCAGTTCATTTCAAAAGCAAAAAGTCATTGAATAAAAATATCGTTCCCAAATCAACTCTAACTCTGCTACATTCAATATATGCAGTATTTTTGTTTTATTCCTGCATATGACACTAGCCTTAGGCTTTGTCTACACTAGTACTGTGTCCACAAAACTTTTTTTTGTTAGGGGTTGTGGGAGGAAACCACACGCCTTAGCGACATAAGTTTCACCAAACGTTGGTGTGGATACCGCTAGGTCAGCAGAAGATAGCTTCCGCCACTTGTTGGGGGTGGTTTAATTATGCTGGTGGCAGCACTCTCCCTCACTGGCATAGAGTGACTACACAGGAGACCTTACAGCAGCGCAGCTGCAGCAGTACAGCTGTGCCGCTGTAAGGTCAGTAGTGTGGACATCGCCTTAATGCCTTTAATACATGCAGCATGGGAGTGTTATGGTTCCTTAGGGAAAAATCAGTACCAAGTCTCAGCCATAGTTCTACCCCTCAACTCCTTTTTTAAATAAAGAAGGAACTGGCAGGTGTAACTGACCACGGCCAAACAGACATGCAAATGTACTATTCCAGATAGGCAGGTTGCAGCTCACGTAGAGAACACTGTGAAGGGTCACAAGAAGGTCTCACTCATGAGTATCCGGTTATTTGCATGTACACCGAGTGAATTACTCCAGTTCATGAACTCTCACCTTGATAAGGAACGTCAAGTATTGCACATATACAGTAGTTTTAGATTTAAAACCTAAACTACAGTACTTGACAATGCTCTTGTTATAAAGGTAAGTAGTCAACCCACTGGTTAATTAAATTACATGGCTGATTTCCCCATTCCACTAATGCATGGTTAAAGTCCTCTTTATATGTTATTCAGAAGTAAGCTTATTACTGAAAAACAATCCCCCCAAAAGAGTCAGTTATTATATGTAAGGAATTTTCACCACTTACCCTTTGAACCTGAGTCTGCAGAGCTGCTGGATTGTCATAGCAAAAATAGCTACCTACAGGGAGAATGAAGATACTAAATAAGCTTAGACAAACTATTTAGAAATACTGAATACAAAACTAAGATTATCTTAATAAAGACGATCTAGTCACTTTCCATGTGGAAGGTACAACAAATCAAGTTGGATTGCATTTTAAATGATATTTGCAAGAAATCATGTCACAGATAGGCAGAAATGGAAGCAACTTCTGTTATTAAATTCATTTTTCTCAGAACTTAATGAAGAATATTGCAAAAGTTTGTGATAAATTTACAAACTAAACAAATGGTATATTTACAGTGCTATTTTAACAGCTTTAAAACTATTAATCTTTCCAGTTAAAACAAGTTTCTTACTAAATGTAAAAAACCATCCAACCAGTAATATTCATCTTCAGTTTGTTTAACAAACTGCTAGGAAATAAATTAAGCAGACAATACCAGACATTCACATACTTAAATAGTAACTGGTCTTGTGAATAAAAGCAAGTTCTCATCCATGTCAATGCAAGATATAACTTTTTGGACAGGTATTTCGTTTAAATTAGTTTCATACCACAGCATCATTACTAGCCCTTGAACAGAGAAACACTTATCTTAACCATTACTGCCCCTCTGGAACATCTATTCTTCTGCATTTACACTAACCACACCCAAGGTTTGTTACTGCAAAAATACAAGTGCCAGTGCTCATACAGGAGCCATTTTTCTTTTGATAACACAAGGCCCTTCCTGCTATCAGGAATCTGCTCATAACTGTACCGAATAAGCAATGAACCTTCAAAAACCACATAAACGGCATTTGATTAAAATGTAGTTCTTTTAACTGAAGATGTCCATGCTTCTGACAGGTTTTACTTTTGTAAAAAGTCTATAAAACCTACTGCAAACATTTTAATTACATTAAAAAACCATCAGTGAAAGGGGGTTTGGATTCAAATATTCCTGTGCAGTGTTCACAATTTAAACATTGTAGCACTGCACTAGTGCACCAGCAAGTCAGACTGAAAAATAAAAGTGACTACTCCATCCAACCTGGGCAAGAAAAATAAAGTACAAAAAGAGAAAAGTTAATTAAGTTTTTAGTAACTCAAAGAATTAGTAAAGTAAGATTTAACTTGAATGTCTCTCTACATACTGTTTGCATCAAGTTCAGTGCATAACCACCACTATTATTAACACATATCTAAACAAGTTTTAGCCCACGATCGTTTGGAATGAAACTTCTCAACTCTGGAGGACTGTCATATTACAATCACAAGCTGTGAGAGTTTACACTAGCCGAGAGGTAGACAGTGATTTTGGTGTGCAGTGATAACTTCTATGCAGGCAAGCAGACCAGACCCAGCCCTGATTTTCTTGTTCAGAACTTGGGGAGGCTTCAAACTCAAGAAAAGCACATTTGCATCAATAATGGGTTTGTATGTTTTGCCACAGTGTGATGAAATACAAAGAAGGCCAAAAGAAAATAAACTTAGCACCTGCCCATACAGCATAATTAATGTCAGGGAACCCCCACATCTCAAATTTGAAAGAAAATAAAACAAGAAGGAAGGTTTATATAGAAGAATTTTTAAAACTTAAGATGGAAGAAATAAGAACAGATACTAAACCTATCAGCCTCCCAACCTTTAACAAGCCCCTGCCATAAAATGTAACTGTTCATCTCCAGGAGGACTCTTAATCCTACCTGTGGCAACAGACCTGTGTAGACGGGACACGGCTGTAGGTTTAGCGTTTACAGCCCCGGACACGGTTTGGCCCCAGGAACGAAGACAGAACAAAGCCAGGAGATAACAGGGACCCGGTCGCAGGACCCTGTTGTGGGGACAGGACCCAAGGTTGGGGGCTTGTCTTTCCCACCGACACTTTAGAAATATTGCGGCAGTGCCGCGGCTCCACCAGGGAACTGCGCGGGGGCGGGTGGGGCAGTGTGAGGCTCTGCCGCCCTCCTAACCATGGGCAGATGAGGAGCCCGGTCCCAGTCCCAGTCCTGCCGCTAAGGAACTGGGCATGGGGAGAGGGGGGCTGGGGCAGAGGGGATGCACGAGGCTGGCTGCCGCTGGGGCGGCTCCGGAGAGGCGGGACTTACCGAAGCCCAGGAAGCACATGAAGGCCAGGACCAGCAGCCGGTGGGCCAGCCGCCGCGGGTCGCACAGGGCCGGCAGCGCCTTGCGCTGGGGACAGTCATTGTGCGCCGAGTCCAGCAGCGGCCGCGCCTCCTCGCCGCCCGGCTCCACCATCGCGGCGCGGCCCCGGCTTTCCGGAGTAGGATCCGAGAAGCTGTCGCCGGTCACGTGAGAACAAGTCAGCTGACCCCCGTCCACTGGCTGTCACGTGGGAAAGATAACGGACCATGGTGCCCGCCTCTTAGGCCAGCAGACGTTACCCATAATGCAGCGCGGCCTAGCAGCACCCCGCCCTCTTCGTCGCAGGCGTGCACGTCACCTGCTGTGGCGCTGCTGAGCTCAGGAGAACACCCTTGGCTCTGCCCCTTCCCTGTGCCCCGCCCCCACTCTCCCCATCCTCCCTTGCTCGTTTTCACTGGGCCGGGGCAGGAGTCCTATCTTAAGAAAAGCTGACACTGGTGTTATTTTACCAGGTGATGTCACTCTGTGACTGCATAAGAACAGGCACACAAAGTAGGTTGAACGCCCAGTAGAAGTGATCATAGAATCATAGGACTGGAAGGGACCTCAAGAGGTCTTTTAGCCCAGTCCCCTGCACTCAAGGCAGGACTAAGTATTAGCACCATCCCTGCTCTTTAAAATCTCCAATGATGGAGATTCTACAACTTCCCTAGGCAATTTATTCCAGTGCTTAACTAGCCTAACAGGAAGTTTTTTCTAATGTCCAGCCTAAACTGCCCTTGCTGCAGTTTAAGCCCATTGCTTCTTGTCCTATCCTCAGAGGTTAAGGAGAATAATTTTTGTCCCTCTTCCTTGTAACAACCTTTTATGTACTTGAAAACTATTATCATGTCCCCCCTCACTTTTCTCTTCTCCAGACTAAACAAAGACTTTTTTTTTCAATTTTCCCTCATATTTATCTACAATTTGTATAGATTTTTTGCAAATTCATAAATTAGTAGAAAATAACTTATTTAAAGCCAATTAAAACATAAGATGTAGATAAAACATGCAGGAATGTCTTTATGTATACTGTCCTTTTTTGAAAAATGACAGTTAAATATGCTTGACTAAAGAGCAGAACTAGAGTAGCATAAAGAAAAACAATTCAGTATATTGAATAATAAATACACAATATTATTTGCTTCTTATCTGTTAATTTTACTGTAGAGACAAGGTGGGTGAGATAATATCTTTTATCAGACCAGCTTCTGTAGGTGAGAGAGACAAGCTTTCAGGCTTACATGGTGCTCTTCTTCAGGTCCAATAAAAGATCCAAAATTTGATCTCATAAAAAGCATTACCTCACCCGCCTTGTCTCTCTAATATCCTGGGACCGACACAGCTACAACCACAGTGCATGTAACAATGAAGATACTGAATTTTACAGTAGTTAGTTTAAGTTACAATGAATTAAGAACAGGATTTAAAATTAATATGAACTAAAATTTAAAACACTTTGACTTATGAAAATATTAAAAGCTGAAGGCCAGATTCTGATCTCAATTACACCAGGGTAAATCAAGAGTAATTCCATGGCCTCTCCTCTGATGAGGCTTGCTGAACCTGATCATTCTCTAACTTATACCAACTTTACACTGTTGTAACTGCATTGATGTCAATAGAGTTCCTTCCTATTCACATTGGTGCAAGTGAGATCAGAATCAGGTCTACTGTTGGGAATCATCTCTCAGAGCTAAGGAATGGGTCCCACATTTACTTAGTGGTTCTTCTGCCACTGGGGTTGTGGCTGAGGCAGGGCCGGCTCCAGGTTTTCTGCCGCCACCAAGCGGCAGGAAAAAAAAAACGCAGCAGCGCAATCGCGCCGCTCCATTCTTCGGTGGCAGTTCGGCAGTGGGTCCTTCACTCCTTCTCTTCTTCTTCGGCAGCACTTCGGCAGCAGCTCAAAGAGGAGGAGAGGGACTGAGGGACCCGTGCCGAATTCCCACCGAAGACCCGGATGTGCCGCCTCTTTGTATCGGCCGCCCCAAGCACCTGCTTCCTTAGCTGGTGCCTGGAGCCAGCCCTGGGCTGAGGTTCCTTCACTCTGTCTTCTCTGTTCCATCATGAATTGTGCCAGGGATTCCTTCTTGAACTGCTAGAGCCTAGTCCTGGAATAATTCCAACGCTGAGGAGACTATCAGAACTACTGAAAAACTAACTAAAAAAACTTCCTGAAACTTTTCAGAGTTGTATTGATAATCTAGTATTCTTGAAGGCATAAATAAGAGATGGAAATAGTGAAAGATACCTGTCATAAAGTCAATATCCATCTCCTTAACTTCATCTAAGACTGAGGGGCTCATTCTGATCTCATATACACCAATTTCATACCAGTGTACTATCATGGACTTCAGTGGAGGTATTACTCCTGGTTTCCAGAGGTGTGAGATCAGAATTAGGCCCTAAGTGCTATACAATCACTTGTTCTGTGCACATGCTATTCTTTACATAACGTGGGCTAGATCACAGCTGTATGGCCAAAAAGGTGCAGTGGCGCATAGCAAGCTATATAATAGTTAATAAAAGGCAGCATCTGCTGAATGTGTTAGGCGTTTGATGTTTCTTTGTCCATGAGGAAGATCATTGGCCCTCTTTCTACTTAACAACACTGTTCCTCCTGTTGCGCCACTCATAGCGTTAGCATGGCATATCTGATTCTGTACATGGCTGCACATTTTGTGGTACCAGAAATCATACCTGCACCAATGTATATCAATGAATGTAAGCATCTTAAGTATTCCTACTGCTTCAGCAAGGACAAGATTGTGTCCTATACATGCAACTGGAAACAGACTATTTTGTTATTTAGCAAATCTTGGTTTTGACTCGAAAGAATTTTCCATCAAAAGACCAAATATGATCAGAGCAACAATGAATCCTTCAGAAGACTAGCTCTTTTTGTTTCCTTTTTTTTACCTAGAAGGCCCAGGCAAAACTTAATTTCTCCCTCAAACAGGTTTGCCTTGTTTACATACTATCTGCCTTGATCTGAAGTTGCTAAGTAACAAACACAGCCAGCAATTCTTTGCCCCTAATCTATTCACTTCTCCTTTGCTGTGGAGTTAGCCAAACTTTCCCTCCATATGGTCAGATTTGATTTTTAATTTTAAATATTTTTCCTGAATGTTTTCTTTACCCCTCTTTCCAGTAATTACACAGTGAAAAAAAGAAATATTAAGGGCCAAACTGTGACAAGGGAGTGAAAGGACATGTAACATTTGCCCAGAGCCCTCATTTAAAAGCAATAAAAGTACCGATGTGTCATAATAATGTATTACATTTCAGTATTATAACCATTTTACTAAGGCTGATTGCTTCCCAAAATGTACTACCCATAACAGACCAACTTTTGGCCACATGTAACAGGGTGCCCCTCTCTTGGCTTTACTGAAGTTTCACTTTCTTCTTACACCAGCAGTAAACTGGGCTCTATGTGTATAGCACTAAGTGGCAGATGTTATTCTAGAGCCATTTAATTAAAATTTTGTTTTTATATTGGCAGAAATGCTTATGCCAAAGTCTTCAACTACCTTTTCAGCGTGATGGAATTAAAGGTGCTGAATTTGCGGTGTACACAGTGAATGAAGATTACTAAAAGTTCACTTTCCGATTATTCTCCCCCACCTACCTTGTCTCTTTCATTAACTTGGTCAGCAGCCATTCAAGAAAATTGAGATAGACTTTCAAATAATTCTGGAATCAACAAAGAGGCTGAAATTTCATCCACTGAAATTCTGTAGGTTGAAATATTAGTTGATCCGCCTGTCTAGTCCTCATGACTATTGTTTCAGCAGTCTTTGAATTAAATAGCAGTTTGTGATGGATAACCTTGTTATGTGCCTTTGCCAAGTTTAAAAGGAGTGGAAACTTGCCCATTGAGGATTATTGCAGATGACTGAAAAAAACAAGATCATATTACAGAACTGTGAATGGAGGCTGGATTTCAGTAAGATCAGTTTGAAATATTTCTACTAGACCCTCACAAATGCTTCTGTCCACAGAGAGATATTGTTATTGCAAGTCTGGTTAATTTGTTAGCTACTGGCATAGTATTTTTTTTTAACATTTTTGACATAAAAACAGAAGATAGGGGAACAGGCCCAGAGTGATTAAGTGATTTATTTGAATTCACAAAGAAATCTTTGCAGAAATGGGACTGAATAGAGCTCTCCTGAGTCACAATCCAGTACCTTAACCAGAATTCATTCCTTCCTACTGAAGGAGGAAATAATATGGTAATAATAGCTTTTGACAATACCTTCACAAATTATCTATTAGTTTATAGACAGAAAACTAAGAATAAGGGCATTTCCTACAATTTGGCACAGTTTATGTGGAGGACAAATCTGGAACTTCCTGCTTCCTAAAAACACATTTTATTTATACTTACTGTTTGTTAAATATACTCAACTGTACACTGCCTGTGCTGTATCTGTTCTGTCAATAAATATTGGACAAACATTTCCAGCTGTCGATCTGCCAAATTCCAAGAATACTAAAATTTCACTTAAAACAATCTCTATTTTTGAATTACATATGCTAAGAGAAAACTGGTTTGTCTAATACATAAGTGCAAGACACAGTAATGAAAAGAACAAAGTTTCTGAGCCAGATATTCAGCTGTTGTAAATCAGCTTAGCTCCCTCAAACTCAATGCAACTATGTCAATTTACATGAGCTGAGGATCTGACCTTTAATGTGCACTATTTCATAGAAAAAGCAACATAAAAAGCTTTCTAGCTTAATGGTCCACTTGGGGGAGCTAGAGGGTAATTTGTGGCCAGGCAGATTAGGATACGGGATTTAGGTAACAAGATTAATTGTTACAGAGCAAAGAGCATCTGCACGGCTCCTTGTCCATCTGACAGAATGATGGGGACAAACTCCTTGAGGGGATCCTCATCGAATTTTCCTCCCCTAACTCCTCTCCTGTAGGTTTTACTGCAGGAGGGAGGAAGCAGCCTATTGACACTCAAAAATATAATGCAGATTAATCCCTAATACCTTTTTAAATTTATTTTAATGTGAATGTAGGTTCAGGATAGACAACTGCAGAAACTAAAGCTGTCTATCTATCCACAGAGTTTCTGTTTCTTCTTTGTGTCTTTGAGGGAGCCTGAGTAAACATGAAATGAATGTAATTTGACTAAGTCCATTTCAAAAATGTCAATGTTTTTATGCTATTGTCATGGTCACGTTTTT